CGATGAACACCACCAAATGGCAAAAACGCTCTTTGGAATTGACATTCCCCAAAGAACCTCCCTTTAAGAACGTAAAAGAATACCTCCAGTCAAAAAAAAGTTTCGCAGATTCACGTCATTTGTAACTTGTCAAAATCAAAACGCAAACCCATTTATTGTCCCATTTTCAGTCGCAATTACCAATGGGACAAACCCGGCCATCAACCTTATTTCCATCTTTTAGCGGGCCAAAGAATCCTTGAAGACACCACAAGACAATTGGCGGAGAAAAGGGAATGGGCAAAAAGGGAAAGAGTCAAGTTGGAACATCAATGGGAGGATTTGTATGAAAAAGAATTAAAGTTTAAAGAGACGTTTCAGAATCTAAGTTCAGTAAGTATGATTTTTGCAAGAAAACAACTAATCGCACTGAAAGTTTATCAAATCGAATGAAGATAAGAGACAAAGGGCGCAGAATATCCTTAAAGAGGATTATCAATTAAGGATGAAAAGGACACAAGAAATTGAAATTTTGCAGAAACTAATGAACGTAGTGATTGAGTCTAAGAAGGAAATGGATGCTAATATCGCACAGTTAAAGATGTTCGAAGTTGGTATTTAGTGTTAGGTTATACAGGATGTTCCGGATAACCCCACATTAGAAGTATTGGGAGTTCTAACAGTAATATTTATCTAAAATTTTGACTATAGCCATTATTGTTTAGATCCTGCTCAATAAAAATATTTTCAAGATGGCAGCACTTCCGGTTACACCGGAAATGGGTATCAACTTCGTTATTTTAAATGAAAAGTTATGTTTTTATTGCATTTTTGGATTACCCAAGTGATTTTGAGAGAGTTTTTATCAGACTTTCCTATACCTAAATTTAACCGTTTTTGAAATATTTAGACTTTTTGAAATTTTTGAATTCCCAATACTTCTTATGTGGGGTTTAGCCGGAACATCCTGTATAAGAGTGTTGTTTGCAAACAATGTAACTAGCAATTAATTTTATCAGATAATTTTCATTTAAATCGCCGAAAACATTTTGTAATTTGAATAGAAATAGCCTATTATTTTGTGATATTATCAGAATACCACTCTCAAGTTTAATGAGCGATTTTTTTGTTCTTTAGCACTACCTCAACGAGGTGGTGGGGGCCTCTGAAGACTTCAAAAACGCCGATGACCTAATCTCTCGCTACGAATCCCTTATTAACACCCGAAACATTCTAGGAAAACGTCAGGACGAAAATCTGCGAGAGCTTGAAACAGCTCGTGCAAAAATCGTAAGAATTTTCCTCTTGTGTTTCATCAAAATTTCATCTCTTTAGGCCAAAATGGTCGAAGACAACTCCTTCAAAATCCTCGGTTTGAACACCGTTCTCGCCTCCCTCAACTCCCGCTACAACACCGCGTTTCGTGAAGCTGTCCATTGGGAAAACATAGTTTTYGCCATAAAAAGTCACTCGTTTCAAAGATTCCAAGAGTTGGCCCAAGTGAAGCACAGTTGTTGGAATACTTACTTGTTGATGTGTCGGCGAAAGAGTGAAACACCGAAACTTGAAGAGGATGATTTTGAAAAGCAGTTGATTTTTATTCAAAAGACGTTGCAGGAGTTGGGGACGGTGAAGGAGTTGACGAAACGGGAGTCGAAGGATATTGGAGGGATGGTGGGGCGGAGGATGAGGGCAAGCAGGATATGATAGGATTCGTGTATTTTATATTTATTTTTAATTATTGTTTAAATAAAGATATTTATACATTTATCGGTTGTGGTTTTTACCTTTTTGGATTAAAAAAACAATTAACAAAAGCTATAAAGTTGAAATATTCACAAAAATTTTACTTTTCTGGAGGTGATTAGTTTACAGTCTTATTATGCTTATTCTMGTTAAGAGATACTCGTATTAAAAAAGACAAAAAGTTGCTCTTTTATTGAAAATTTTACATTTTTTTATTTTAGAAACCTTCACCATATTTGAAATGTGGTGTCATTACGGTTTTTTCAAGCATTACACAACTCCAAAAAATTAAAGGAACAAAAAATGTCCCTAAATTTTTTAGTGATTTTTGAAAGGCTGTAACTCGTCGAAAAATGGTTACATCTAGATTTTAAATAAAACCATTTTAAAGTTTTAATAAAAAAAA